CATCTTGTTACTATTATAAATGTGAAGTCATCAGCGTCGGACGCTGTGGCCATAACCCCACTGAAAGAAATACGAGTGATTCATGTATACCAATGTGATCGATAGGTTTGATAGATTTTATTAGCTTCTATATATGGATTTTACTTTATGTAGAAAAATTCTTTTGAATTTGTGTCAATATATTGAATTATCTGAGCATTTTTGTCATTTGCATAACAACAAAAAAAAAAGGCTCATTCCATTTAGTGTAGGTGTAAGGATTTGATGTTTATGGTATCTATATTTAAGTGTTAGGTAATTTAGTGATATTACTGAAGAAAAAATATATTTATTAGAGTTCGACATTCTGGTAGGCATAATAGACTTCATTCTTATGCACATTGCTTTTAAATATCATGTGTTCTTATTCTAAGTCTACAAATATTTTAATAATTAATGAAAACATAGTACATTTATAATGGAGGATATTTTTACCATATTTTTTATATCAACATAATGAATGGAGTATGGACTATGACCAATAGGGGCTTCAAAAGATGCACGATGAGAAAAAAAATGATAATGCATCATGTTGAATGTGAAAAATATATTTCCCTCATTGGAAAAAGGCGAAAATCTGAGTATCAGTTACAGTTTATGGGTCGATTGGTATTGCAATTGTACGTACTTCTGACACTATTTGCAAATCTTAGAGAATTCCTCCTCATCTTTCAGAAGTATCAATCAAAAGTATCATTATCATTGAGTTTTGTGCGCAAGTTTTTTTTCCTCTAGAGTGACTCCTGTACTTTCTTGAGTCTTTTTCCTAAAGGATGTCTTTTGTCTCATTCTCTCATATGCACCTAAAAAAAAAACAGTTGTGAATCTTCAATAAAGAGTACTCTTTATCAGCATATATGGGGTTGTTATGCATTTGAATCTTCTTGGGTTGGTAACTTCTTCAACAATCTTTCCAGTTTTCCAACTAGTGGACATAATGGTCTATTAAGCTCTTTACCCTTTTGGTTTTTACCTCTATTGCTTTGGGTTCTTCAATAGTGGGCAGGATTAGCCTCTAAGGAGTTCCTTCCCCCAAGAGAATGCACATGGATAGGAGATCAACCACTTGACTATTCTCCATGGAAACGTGCTCAATTTTGAAGTTGGTAAACTTTCATATCTCAATTTTAGCTTTTCTGAGGTACTTAGCCATCATCTCATATATGGCTTCAAATTCTCCATTCACCTGATTTAGGACTAGTTGTGAATATGACTTCAGATGGAGATGTTGGGCGCCAATTTTATAGGCTAGATGCACGACAACAATTAGACCCTCATATTCTGCCTGGTTATTTGTGACTTCAAATTCTATTTTGACTGAGTGGTAGAGATGATCTTCAGCCAGAGTGCTCAGAGTAAGTTTGAGATCTGCTACCGTATGTCTGGAGGCTCCATCAATGTGTAAGACCCAGGTCTAGTTGTTGGTAGTGTTCCCTTCATCTGGTTTGCATGGTTTGAAAAAATCTGCTAAGAAATTAGCTACCACCTGTGTCTTGATTGTGATCAAGGGGACATAGGATTTTTTGAACTCCCTTAGCTTCGATGCCCACATAAGAAGCTGATTGGAGTGCTCCAGACAAGTGAGAACAAAATTAAGTGGGTGGTCACTTAGGACCCAAATTGGATGTGTTTGGATGTTGGGTCGAAGCCTACAAGTTGTAATAATAAGAACAAAAGTTATCTTTTTTCATAATAAGATACTTGACTTCAACACCTCTAGGGACCCGACTAGTGTAGTAAATTGAAAATTATTTCCCTGGTTCTTTTATGATTAGTTCTGAGCTAATTGCTTTTGGTCAAACTCCAGAATATGGAGAGAGTACTTCATTTGGATTAATGGTGGTAATGCCACGGAATCTTTTAGCTGCTTGAATGCTTTTTTGCACTTAGTTGGCCATTCAAAGCTCTTTGCCTTCCTCAGTATTTTGAAAAATGCTGCACAGTTGTTGCTCAACTTTGAAATAAATCGCTCAGACCTGCTATCTGACTAGTCAACTTCTACACTTCTTTGATATTTCAGAGTGATGACATGTTGAGCATTGTTTATACCTTCTCCAGATTGGCTTTTACTATGATTGTTGGCTAGCTCCAACAATTCGACTAAGTTTTTTGGTTGCTAGAGACCTCCTGAGCTAGGTCAGTGTGTGCTACTATGGGTTACATATCCCTCACTTCCAGCATCTCCTTCTCGGAAAGCAATGATAAACGAGCAAAGGCTCTCGTTTTGCCCTTCCTGATTTGTTGCAATACCTGAAAAGTTTTTTGTGGCTTTTGAGTGCTATCAAGTTGCGCCACAAACATTCTATTGAAGTCAATTAAGGAAGTGATCACTCCCACCGATTAAACCACTTGAGCGTCATCTCCCTTAAAGTAGTGAAGTGCAGTCAACACTTAAGTTTTTCAATGATCCTTAGAAGATAGAACGTTGATTCAAATGATGTTAGATGGTCGTTCAGACCAGTCCGACATTTATAGGACTCCAACAATGAGATTTTGAATTTCTCTAGTGATTTAACATAGGAATCTACTGAGATAATACATTCTCTAGCTAAATGGGAGCCTTAGCACGCCCAAATTGTCATCTATCAAACTGAGTGGATCCAACGCTGTCTTAGTATTGGGAATCTCTTATTCTTTCTAAGGCTTGAATTATTCATCATACATTATGTGTCAGCACTTCCTCCTAATGGTTCTCCTCGATTGCTTCTTAGATGGCTTCTATCATCTGACCAATCATCTAGTGCTTCAATTCTTGTATTTGTTATTGCACATGCTCTCTGTTGCACTCCAAGTTTGTAGTGTCTCTTAGGTAGATTTGATCTTCTTCTTGTGGTCCTCCTTTTCTTGTTTCTGGCATGATCCATGCTCACCTCCCCTTTTAGGAAACTAAATTGTGATTTGTCCTATGAATCACACCCAAATAATAGAGCATATG